ATTTTCTAGAGTGTATTGCAAAATGGCGCCATTTGGGGGGCGCTTTAATCTCGAAGTGGTAGACTTATTTGTTTATGGGAGACCATGCTCTATCGGTTACTCCAATGGGACATTGAATTTTCATGCAATAATGGAAGGCATTAAGGGGGAGGTCGCGTATCGGGGTCGGAAAATGGAAGAAAGTGGAGAAGACGATCGATTGCCTCCAAATGGGATTTTCGAGGAGACCGCGGGCGAGGAAGGAAGAGCTGTATATTCTATCGAAATCGGAATTTCTAAAGGGACTCCCAGATGTATATATATGCACCTATATATATTGCGACATGATTCGAAAGGAACTTCTCCGCTACTACCATGAATTCTTAAATGAACTTGCGTAAAAGCAGGACCGATTTCCAGGATACGCTCCTCGAACTCTAAAATAAAGACCAGCACTTCATGAAAATTATTTAACGTTAATAGAAGAGGACGTTTACGAAGATAAGATCATCGGGATTATAAAGTGAAACTAAAAATCGGTATAAATAATATTTCGACAAAATAATTTATACTGGGAATACTATGAACTATTAGTATATTATTAAATTCGAAATATGAAGTTCTGAACGAAAGGGAAATTATTCAATGTTAATAGAAGAGGACGTTTACGAAGATAACATCATGGGGATTATAAAGTGAAACTAAAAATCGGTATAAATAATGGGAATACTATGAACTATTAGTATATTATTAAATTCGAAATATGAAGTTCTGAACGAAAGGGAAATTATTCAATGTTAATAGAAGAGGACGTTTATGAAGATAACTCATCATGGGGATTATAAAGTGAAATTAAAAATCGGTATAAATAATATTTCCACAAAATAATTTATACTGGGAATACTATGAACTATTAGTATATTATTAAATTCGAAATATGAAGTACTGAACGAAAGGGCGCTTACAGGATACATTTTCTTTTTTCATCGTCTTCGGGTCCGGAAATAAAAATGAGCCTATTAAAGGCACAAACGAAATCCCTCGAGGGCATGAAAAATCATTTCCAATTAAAATCTCGACGCTTAATCGCCGATTCTCGGGAAATTGCTCCTCCGCAATAATATGCAGGATCTCCGCCATTTCATAATACACGGAACGGGGAAACTATAATCCTCGACTTCGATCAAATTAAATCGGCAATAAATTCATCCCTCCACCCCACCTTCATATATTCCTTCCCCTAGACCGCGAGTTTAGAATTTCCCCGGAAATTCGAAAAGGGCGATATAGCGAAGGAAAATTGAAAGGATCAATAAGTGCAATGCTGCACTTATCCTGTTTCGTCCTGCGGATTTTCGAAAATGTATGTCTCCCCTTTCGAACAATCCGACAAAATCCCCATTTCGAGCACAGATCTTTCCTGCAATATAGCGAAGGACAATTGAAAGGATTAAGGTGAAGTGAAACCTCCTTCAAATCAGTCGATTCGAATACAACACTTTTTTTTAAGGGTATTAGACCAAACTGTCCGAAACTTTGACACATCACTCCTGATCATCTAAGAATTGTCCTGACACATTCAAAATTTGGATTTTTCAACAAAATTTTTGAACTCAGCCCAGACCAGAACCAAAATGGCGTCGAGCTCTCATATTTCGATCAATATACAATTATCGAAGGCTCTGATATGAAAATCGAAAGGGTCAGGACAATTTTACAACAATTTAGAACACTCTGGTAATCGATAAACTCGCATATGAACGGGATAAGGGCAAAAAAAGTGTTGTATGCGCTTCTATGCTAAAACGATGGTAATACGAGGTCTCGGAGTGAAAATTTAATTGACCTGAAAATCACAGATGGCGCAGGGGGTCCCTCTGCAGTCAATTAGGGCCTCAGAAACCACGAATCCAGGGCATTTCTGGAGTTTTACTTCCATTTCTTGATATTTATTGTACGAAGACGACAGGTGGAGTATGCCATTTGGTACAATATCCAATATAATTCGACACAGCTGTCAATATAAAAACCAACGTCGGCAACGTAGGCATTTAGAAAAATCTTCTTTATCGACGTCGATCAAGTTCCTCGACGTGTTTCACTTCACCTTAAGAAGTGCAATGCCGCAGTTCGTCCTGCGCATTTTCCGGAATGTACATCCTTTTCTTTTTCCATCTTCCTAATGGATTTCTTGCGGTAGAGAAGTGCCGATCGCAATGTGCTCCACTTACGGACTCGAGGTCCTCGATTTTTCCTGGTTTCCTTTTGGGGAAGTCGCGACGAAATAATCGCGGGAACATTTTCCATTAGGGAGGCTCGTTTCTCGGGGGATGAAGTGCGCCGAACTCCGGATGATGTATTCCTTGGCTCGAGTGCAATTACAGTTTGAGTTTGTCCGGCGCATTAGTAGCGAAACTGCTGATGCTCTTTGGCCTCAATCTTATTAAGAGCTCCACCCCCACGGGAAACTGCGTCGAGAAGTCGGTCCCGAAAATTACGATGACACGTAACTTCGTCGAGTTTCGAAGCTCGAACGAGACGGAGACGGTAATTCCGCGACCCGAGGACGAGATAAACCGCGCGGAATTTCCGCGCCCCCGAAATTAGGGCTCATTTCGGCAATGTTCATTTCGTCATTTCGATTGTTTAGGTTGCCGCGGAATTCCTTATTTGATCACGGAAAATAGAGACAAGAACAGGGTGGTGAGGGGATCTTTTTTCTCTCGATTTTCTGAATGGGCTTCGGTACCTTAAATTGATCTTGAAGAGTTAGGGTGGATTTGGGATTTTTTTTATGACGAAGAAGAGGTCCTAAGTCACTTTAGTTGTCGAGTTTTGTATGGGTTACCAGTTTGAGGATTTTTTTTCCGACCTCTTGCACGGAATGAAAAATTGATATTCACCCTTCGCGTGCATTTCTACCCTTTCAAAAGTCACAAGAGTGGATTTGGGATTTTTTTTGATGACGAAGAAGAGGTCCTAAGTCACTTTACATGTCGAGTTTTGTATGGGTTACCAGTTTGAGTATTTTTTTTCCGACCTCTTGTACTGAATGAAAAATTTATATCAACCCTTCGCGTGCATTTCAACCCTTTCAAAAATCGGAAAATAGAGACAAGAACGGTGTGGTGAGGGGATTTTTTTTTCTCTCCATTTTTCGAATGGGCTTCGGTACCTTAAATTGATCTTGAAGAGTTAGGGTGGATTTAGGATTTTTTTTATGACGAAGAAGAGGTCCTAAGTCACTTTAGATGTCGAGTTTTGTATGGGTTACCAGTTTGGATTTTTTTTTTGACTTCTCGTACTAAATAAAAAATTTATATCCACCCTTCGCGTGCATTTCTACCCTTTCAAAAGTCACCTCCCTTAATCCTGAAGAGCCGGAACGAAGTGCGATTTTCTGGGTGCCGAAGACGAACGAATCCATTTCAGATGAGGTCGAAGTGGAGTCCCTCTCCCGGTAAATTAAAAATTCATTTCTACCCTTTCAAAAATCACCTCCCTTGATCTCTTCGAGCCCTGGTGGACTTCGAAGCCCAAAGGAGACGGCCATCTCCGTGTATACGTCCTCTCCCATTAAACTTTTTCCTCTTTGATTGAGACTCCGGAGGATCCTGCGGGACGAAAGGAAGAGGACTCTAATTTCCTCTTGGTTTAATGCCGCCGGTTAATTTCGACGACCCTCGCGATCGCAGGGCGCAATGAAGTAAGTGCGTCGCCTGCAAATGGATTGGCGGAGCTCCGAGATCGGCAACTCCAAGAGAGGAGAGGATGCAATTCCAGGACCCCTCGAGTTATCCTGGATGCCCGTTTCCGGGATCGCGTATGCTCCAGGACGGCACTTGATCCCATTATCGCCGGGGCGAATCTGCAAGGGCCTTCCAATTTGCTTCCCAAATTTTAACGGCGACGACTCGCGATGGGGAATTAGATCAAGAGCCTCCTCCCGCGAATCCTGGAGGATCATCGACTTCCTAAATAATTCAGGCCATGATCCTTCGAGACGCGTGCCCCGTTTTGATTTTTCATCACTTATATAAAAAATAAACAGAGATGCCGGGAAAAATATTCGACAGTCGAAGTTCATTTCAGCTAAATTTCCACTTACAAAATGTTGGATGAAAAATTGAAATTTCATAAATAATTCAGGCCATGATCCTTCGAGACGCGTGCCCCGTTTTGATTTTTCATCACTTATATAAAAAGTAAACAGAAATGCCGGAAAATATATTCGACAGTCGAAGTTCATTTCAGGTAAATTTCCACTTACAAAATGTTGGATAAGAAAATTGAAATTTCCTAAATAATTCAGGCCACGATCCTTCGAGACGTGTGCTCCGTTTTGATTTTTCATCACTTATATAAAAAGTAAACAGAGATGCCGGAAAAAATATTCGACAGTCGAAGTTCATTTCAGCGAAATTTCCACTTACAAAATGTTGGATAAAAAATTGAAATTTCATAAATAATTCAGGCCACGATCCTTCGAGACGTGTGCCCCGTTTTGATTTTTCATCACTTATATAAAATGTAAACAGATGCCGGAAAAAATATTCGACAGTCAAAGTTCATTTCAGGTAAATTTCCACTTACAAAATGTTGGATAAAAAAATTGAAATTTCACGCGATTCGATACCCTCGGTTAACAGAAGAAAATTTCATAAATTATTGGCCTCACGCATCCCACTTTCGCATCACCTCACTACCAGGTCAATATTTCCAAATTTCACGTTACGTCAATTTTTATTCCCGACTCGAGAGAAAGAGAAAAAAAAAAGTAAGTAATAAAAACGTCATATCCAATTATTCATGGGAATGGAAATTAAAATCCTATTTAAATATCGATAAGAATGGAAACTGAAATCATGGCCGGATATTTTTAATTTTCTTTGAAAAAATTGGTTTTGGGTAGATAAGATTGGGTTGGGATTGAATCTTTTTTTTTTTTCATTTCTTCTTTCCGAGTGGAAAAGCTAATTCAGGCGGTAAATTAAGTGGCCCTATCCAAAGGGGGTACTCACACGTAAGAGTTCTCTTGGTCCCAGGTGACTATCTCGGTGACGACGAAAGTGCCGGAAGTCAGGGGAACGGTCCTCGGACTCGGGGTGGTCGCGTTTGTAATCAGGACCAAGTGCCTCCAGTCTCCGGTCTCGCCTTGATTCTGCGGCAGGACCAGAAGGAAAGATGTGCCGTCCTTGCTGAAGAGAGGCGGCTCGAACTGTTCCACCCAGCCGTTCGACTCGACGTGAGAAAGCGCCTGAAAGAGTTTTAGTCGCCTTTTGTGCAAAATTTACATACTTTCAACAAATATAAAAATTCAAGAGCGTTCCGCCACCCCTTTCGAAAGATATCCCAAAATTTCAACATCCCACCCCTTAAGGTGAAGTGAAACATCCTTCAAATCAGTCGATTCGAATACAACACTTTTTTTTAAGGGTATTAGACCAAACCGTCCGAAACTTTGACACATCACTCCTGATCATCTAAGAATTGTCCTGACACATTCAAAATTTGGATTTTTCCAAAAAATTTTTTAACTCAGTCCAGACCAGAACCAAAATGGCGTCGAGCTCTCATATTTCGATCAATATACAATTATCAAAGACTCTGATATGAGAATCGAAAGGGTTAGGACAATTTTACGACAATTTAGAACACTCTGGTAATCGATAAACTCGCATTTGAACGGGATAAAGGCAAAAAAAGTGTTGTATGCGCTTCTTTGCTAAAACGATGGGAATACGAGGTCTCGGAGTGAAAATTTAATTGACCTGGAAATCACAGATGGCGCAGGGGGTCCCTCCGCAGTCAATTAGGGCCTCAGAAACCACGAATCCAGGGCATTTCTGGAGTTTTACTTCGATTTCTTTATAATTATTGTACGAAAACGACAGGTGGAGTACGCCATTTGGTACAATACCCAATATAATTCGACACAGCTGTCAATATAAAAACCAACGTCGGCTACGTAGGCATTTAGAAAAATCTTCTTTATCGACGTTGATCAAGTTCCTCGACGTGTTTCACTTCACCTTAAGTAGCATTACATAAAAATTGGGCAAGTTATTGAAAAATCTGGCCATTGATAAAGGATCCACTAGTTTCGATTATCGAATTGAAAAAAATTCCTCGGATGATTTGTAACTTAAAATTTCCGCGGTTGGCTCGAATCTGCGTTATAGAAAAATCGTGTAAACGATACAAATACAATAAATCGGGTAAACCATAAAGCTGCTATTAATGAAGCCATGAAAATTCATGTACGGCTAATGTCACAGTTAATCATCCTCGGATGATTTGTAACTTAAAATTTCCGCGGTTGGCTCGAATCTGCGTTATACAAAAATCGTGTAAACGATACAAATACAATAAATCGGGTAAACCATAAAGCTACCATTAGTGAAGTCATGAAAATTCATGCAAGGTTAATGTCACGGCACTGAAAATCCGGAAGTAATTCCAGAAAAACGGGGAAAAAAACCCGAGACGAGGTTTGTCTCGCATTTTTAGGAGCAAGGGAGAGATTTAGGGATACTGCAGCCGGTGGTGCAGCAATCGAAGCAGATACCAACCGTGGTGCAGCTCGACGTCGCGACGTCGCAGAGTTGGAAGTACGCCCGATTCTGAACTCGGTTCATCCACGTGGCCGAGACCAAATTGTCCGTCGGGAAGGCGACCGCCGAGAGTATTCTCTCGGATAAATTCAATTGGGGCGGATGCTCGATCTCGACCAGACTGCCATTCCCGAGTATCACTTGGTCCAGGTCGACGTAGTACAGCTTCACCGTGGGATTCGTCGTGCCGCTCTGGAAGCCATAACGAAAAACGCGTTAAAGTCCGCCTATTACACCTGAGCTTTCCCCCACATGAAATCCCCCACCCACAGAGTGCAATTTCATTTTTCCCGAATTTAACGACGCGCCTATTTCGAAAAAAAAAGTATCGATCGCCGGAAAATTCTACGATTTTTATCCCACATATTACAGGGGGGAAAAAAACACCCTTGCCTGGAGGATGTTTGTATACAACGCTTTATAGATAAAAAAATGTATTACAGTTCACTTGAATTAAATAATCATTTTATGAATGGATGAGACATTTCATCGGTTCAATTTTTTTTTCTTTCCCTCCCGAGGTGGGAATCGAAATGGTCTCAACTAACGCGTTCTCTTCGTTAAAAAAAAGGAGAATGAATTTAATTTTCTTTTATTATGAACTTAAAAATGTATTACAGTTCAGTTGAATTAAATAATCATTTTATGAATGGATGAGACATTTCATCGGTTCAATTTTTTTTTCTTTCCCTCTCGAGGTGGGAATCGAAATGGTCTCAACTAACGCGTTCTCTTCGTTAAAAAAAAGGAGAATGAATTTAATTTTCTTTTATTATGAACTTAAAAATGTATTACAGTTCAGTTGAATTAAATAATCATTTTATGAATGGATGAGACATTTCATCGGTTCAATTTTTTTTTCTTTCCCTCTCGAGGTGGGAATCGAAATGGTCTCAACTAACGCGTTCTCTTCGTTAAAAAAAAGGAGAATGAATTTANTACAATTCATCCAATTTATACAATTCATCCGATTCATCCAACTCGTGAGAAACCCATTTCCCGAGCTGTCGAGCGTTTCCACTTTCTTCGAGACTTTCACTTATTCGGGGGAGGTCCCCCAGGTGTCTCACAAGAGGGGATTATTTATTTCCCGGCGGAAATGATTTATTCCGGGGTTGAAGTTCCGCACCCACCCTTGGGTGCCGAAACTTAGGGCGTAATACTTAGTCTCTCGCAAATAGTTGTACACGTTAGGGTAGGTCGGAAACGCCAGGCGGATAAATCGCGTTAGTTCAAAAGCGGGGCGAGGGGGGGTCGGTTGTCTTTTGTTACGGGGCGTCCATGGCGCGGCGTTATTCCCCAGCCATTGTTATTGCGACTGGATCCGAAGAGAATTTCCCGAAGAGTTTTGCTCGCGAGTGCTCCTAGCTCGGAACTCCTTGGGTCGTTAGCTTTTACGAGGATCGTTTGAGTTTCCTGCATACACGGAGTGGGTGGATGGGTCGTTCCCAAATCCGAGGACACATTGCTCGGTGGAAAAAAAGAACCCGGACCTGGGAGCTTAGCCAGCTTCGATGCTCTTCGGTTCCAGTATAGATACCGTAGATAGTGACTAAGACCAAAGGAAAACAATAATTTATGTGTATGAGCTTAATTAAAAAATGTATTCATTTATCGCTACTCTAGATAATATTACATATAATAAATGATACGTTTTGGGACAGCGCCTCAAGGCTTCTATAACGCGTTTTTACGTACTTTAATAAATTTGAATCTCGGTACATTAAGGAATATATTTATCAGCTTGTTTCCTAGCTTATCAGGTGTACATAGCTCGTTAGAAAATAATTTCATTCGTGAGATAGGTCGACCCTCGAATTTTAATTTCACCAAGTGTCCGAAGGTGCACGTGGAGTCTCCGTAAAAATGATAATTCCGAAATATAATGTACCTAAGATTTAAAAAGGAAAATTTCTAGAATAAGAGGGGAGGATTTCTTAAGACGTCATTTTTTTTTCCATTGACACGGGGATGGAAATATCGAGGGAATTTAAAGTCGCAGGGGGTGAGCCCTTATCGAAAAAGCACGCAAGTGGCCCATTTACCTCGGAGAAGGTGTCGAGGTCGCGGAATCGTCGAAAGGCGATATTTCCATTACAAAGAATCCTGTGAAGTACGGAACTCCGTCTCACCCCTTTCCACCCTTTTTTGGAACCCTTCCGGGCGAGAATAAACCGAATCGCGAGCACTCCGGCAAACTTTCCGGCGTCGGCTTTGAAGGCTTCCCACCTGACGCGGACTTTTAGATTCCACCCCGGCGTGATTCGCACCCTTAAACTTCAAGGGGGCGAACTTCGTTTCGAATCGGCCCTGATATTCGGGAAAATTGCAGGGGCGTAAAGACAGCCCCCCTCGAAATTATTCCCTTCCCATGTCTCCCCGTATTAACTCCGAGGGGGTTGGAATTGCTCGTCAACGACGGGGGTTGAAGACCCTAATTGAGCTGGGGAATTACTCGCCTCATCCGACTGTAATCGCTTTAATGAAAAATGATTTCGCCCCCCGAAATATCCGTTTAATGAATTTTCGTCATCAAGGGGGAGGTGCACCCTCTTTGGGTTTATTCCTATATTTCCCCCCTACTCGGGATTAAAGAGCGATTTGCGGGGGGTAAGTTACTTAAGATGAAGCCTCAATCACCCTCTCCATTTTTTCATCCCCCAGGATGACGGAAGTCCCCATGAAATGTGCGTGGAATTTTCCCCCCTTTCCCTGTTTCCCGTGAATTTGCATATGTAAAAAGCACCCTTTTTTCCGTAAAACTTTCCTTTTAAGGGGTGCAATTTCGGAAGAATTATTTCCTTCCGAGCCGAACTGTACGCAGCTAGTGATTGGAGCAGGTAATTGGGTATTTTTGCGAGTGCATCCCCTTGCACCCCCGAATGACCGAAGTTTCGTGAAATATACGAGAAATTGCCCCCGACTCCCCCCATTGGCAATTTCTGCGGATCTCTCTTTCTCCCTCTCTTGTGTTTCTCAACTCTTTTGGAGAATTTACGGGGGGCTCCGGTCGCTTAAGAATTTCCGCCCTCGACGATACGGAAGTTGCACCCCCTGCGCGTCCAGGACGAAGACCTCGTCCTCGAGGTCCTCCTACAGGACGCTGGCTCGGTTCTGAACACTCATTAAACAATGTAATACAGCCCGGTGTACATGCGTGTACATCGTAAACTTGGCAGCCCTGGGGGCACCGATGAATTATTAACATTGCAAGGCAACTTCGAGGAAGATATACATCATGCGAAACAGGCGAGGCCCATCCTTCGTCGTCTCCTGTTTTGGAAGGGCTGCTGGAAACCCTCAACCCTTGAGGCACATTATCGTTTATCAGATCCCTTTTTGGTAGTTCCTGACTGGTTTCGAACGGGTTGCTTCAACTATGAGAATTTTGAGGGGTGCTGACCTCGTATAAGGTGGGATGACCATGACCTAGGTGAACCTAGGGCTCGTGTTAATTTCGACAGGTTATTATCTACGGATTCATCTACAGTGAAGCAAAGGGAATACTTTGTTAATTCAAAAAATAATTATTTCACCTCCTATAATCTATATAGATTTACGCTAATTTTGGGTAATTTTTAATTCAATTTGTGTTGATCCTGATCTACCTTAACCTATGCGAATCCACCCCAATTTTAGGCAATGGTAATTTAATCCAGCTCGGGGTGATCCTGACCTACGTGAACCTGGCTCGGTTTCGACCTACCTCAAACTAGGTTACTTTCGACTTATGGGGATTTAAACCGTCCCGACCTACCCCAACCGAAGCAAACCCCGACCTACGGCAACCTAACCTCTCATAGCTCTCACGTCCTCACTTCGATGTGACGTGCGATCGATGGATAACTGACCCGACCTAACCTGTCGCATCGGAAAAAGAAAAACCCTGAAAAAATTACACCTACATCCAGGATATGCATTTTTCATGGGCTCGGGGCCCGGGAAATTTAGATGGATCCGGGGAAAATGGAAGGTCGGACCTGATTGGAGGAACTCAAATCGCTCGGAAGAAATTGATGGACCTTGGCGTCTTCCTCTCCAAGGTGTTAATTTTTTCCTTGGTAAAAGTGCCCCCGTATAAAACCACTCCTTTAAAAGTTCACGAAGCAGGGCGGAATGTTTTCACGACACTGACTCAACGTTTAATTTCATTTTTATAACGTTTAATTTCATTTTTCAACGTTTAATTTCATTTTTCAACGTTTAATTTCATTTTTCAATGTTTAATTTCATTTCTTCAACGTTTAATTTCATTTTTCAACGTTTAATTTAATTTCTTCAACGTTTAATTTCATTTTTCAACGTTTAATTTCATTTTTCAACGTTTAATTTCATTTCTTCAACGTTCAATCTCATCTTTCAACGCTTAATTTCATTTCTGCAAGGTTTAGTTTCATTTTTCAACATTTAATTTCATGTCTTTTTTTTTTCCAACGTTTAATTTCTCTCTTTCCAGCGTGGCGATTTTCAAGATGGAGTGTATTATCGAACCGCATGAATTATGGAGCCATTTCTCTTGGAATGTCTGAGCGAACCACGCGGGGAACATTATCGGAAAGTCCTCAAGGGGCCGCAGGTGTTAAACATGAAATCGTTGACAGAATCATTTTCGTTTCTAGTTACCTCCTTGCACACAGGTGGTACTTACAACCGGCATGGACTCTTTTTTATTCCCACTCGCAATCACTCCTAGTGATACGAAGGAGTCGATCGGTGAAATTCCGCCTGCGGAATACGCGTGTATCGGAAAGTGAAGAATGTCAGATCGAACTCATGTATAAGTAAGTGTCGCAGGTGCGGAATGATAAATTTCATCTTCCCGCCCAACCCCTTTCCCACCCATTCGTGAATAAATTCACATCCGCCATGTGGAGCGCGATTGTTTCGCTCTCCTTTTATATTTTGCGATATTCCTCCCCCGCGTTATCAAGATTTATTTTAAATTCCGGAATTTTAAGACTCGGCGAGCTTAATAATCTATTATGTTATTTAGAGGTAAGTGGAGCAGTTTTCAGTTTACGAGGATAATTTAGATCGATGGCGACGTGACCAAAGCGAATCTTAAGTCGCTTAAGAGGTCGTTTAAGATTCCATCAGGTGGATCTTCGTCCTCGTTAAAAAGACCTCGAGTCAATTACCGAGGGTCATCAAGCTCTTTCCCAGGCGACGATTTTCCCTCCAAGGATCAATTCCAATTTTTGTCTTTTATTTCCCTTGGCCAAAGTCGCCGATTTTTCGCATTAATAAAACCTTGCAGAAAAATGGCGGTCTCGAACTCTCCTCTTTCTATCTCCCTGATTTTTTCCTCCTTGGAAGAGGCTGCAAACCTTCGTGGACAGCGTTTTTTAAGGGTTCTTTGTTTTTTTTAGCCTCTTTTATTTAATGCTCCACATCGAGGTCCCTTGTTTTTTTTTCAGCCTCCTTTATTTAATCCTCCACGTCGAGGGCGCCGATAAAGATATTCCCTCCACTTTTGCCGAGCCGACCTTCGCGCTTTCTTCAGGGACCACGTCGCTCATACATCACTTGGAATGATAGTCAAAATGAAGTTCGACTTTCTGCTCCCTGGCCGAAAAGTGCTGCGGAAGGAGAGGATCAAGACGGAGGCTGGATGGATCCCGGGTGGAGGAATCTGGAGGCTATAAATCATACCGGATAGAAGTCGTGTCAGGATTTGACAATCGATTCCAAGATAGAAGGAGGAATCCTCTTCGGAATAAAGTAGGGCGCATCTATTTAGAAATTCCGACTGCATTCTTAAGGAATTCCCTTAGAATTTTCTTCACGTTCTTGTAACGAAACCAGAGAAGCAAATGACACCGAGAGAGGTTAAACTACGTCAAAGGAAATTATAGAGAGTCGCTATTAATTTTCATTCCCCGGATTAAATTCCAGGCCCTGAGAAAAAATTATACCGACCCAAAGAAATATTTTATTAATTCAATGAATTTTATTAGAACGACCTGGAATTAATTAGACGCGACTTTCCTTCGAATTAACAAAATGTTGATTTTTTGGAGGTTTGAAAAATTTCTAAATTTCATGGAGAACGAACGGTGGGGAAAAATTCGGTTAATGCTCAGTGAATTAGTAAGATTACTCGGTAAATCAAACAGTAGTAAAGCGTGTTATGTTCTTCTTATACAGTAAATAGGCCCCGTACCAAAATAAATAAGCGATGGTATGTAGATCACGGTTTACTCGAATTTGCACGAGGCATTTCCTTCGCTTCTAATTCGCTTGCCAAATACGTCGGTGTTCGATTAACGAACTAATTTGCACCGGACATGTCGAGTGTGGACGTAATTACGGATGCGAATTAAATGTACCCCGAATCGCGTCGTTTGACAAATCACGGTTTCGATCAAATGCCAACGATTGTTTCGATTGCTACTTCAATAGAGTACACGGACGGTCTAAAAGAGCCATTCAACGAGGCACTAGACAATGCTATTCTATGCAAATCGAGTGCAACACTCCGTAGCACAGAAATCTCGATAATTTTTAAGCCTCGAGGCGCGTAAAAAATAAAAAGTTTCAGTCAACCCACCCTGAGAAAAAGAGATTAATCGACTGAAAAAAATTCTTGGTACACAAATTGTTATCTAAATCGTATATAACTGCAAGAAACAATGATTTTCATGTCGCAATGTAAATTTCTCAGACTTAAATCGTTGTTTTTTTTTTTCTGTCGTTTCCAACTCGAGGTATTCAGATCGAGGAATTAAATGAAACATCAAGTGAGGGTCTCGTAAAACCCGAGAACGTAATTAAATCCAATTTGAAAATGAAAAAGGGAAGAAGAGAAAATTCAGATTCACATCCTTTACAACCATCTCCAAGTACGCCGTTTCAGCGAGCGTTTCCTTTGCGAGTTTTCACTGGATATTTTTAATAAATGGGGGTAAAAAAATTAATTCCCCGCTTGTCAGAATTTCTAAGTGAGTTGCCTTGGGGTAGTGAATCGTTTCCTTCGTCAGTTTCCAATGGATATTTTTAATAAATGGCGGTAAAAAAAGAAATTCCCCGCTTGTCGGAATTTCTAAGTGAGTTACCTTGGGGTAGTGAATCGTTTCCTTCGTCAGTTTCCAATGGATATTTTTAATAAATGGGGGTAAAAAAAGAAATTCCCCGCTTGTCAGAATTTCTAAGTGAGTTACCTTGGGGTAGTGAATCGTTTCCTTCGTGAGTTTTCAATGGATATTTTTAATAAATGGGGGTAAAAAAAGAAATTCCCCGCTTGTCAGAATTTCTAAGTGAGTTACCTTGGGGTAGTGAATCGTTTCCTTCGTGAGTTTTCAATGGATATTTTTAATAAATGGGGGTAAAAAAAGAAATTCCCCGCTTGTCAGAATTTCTAAGTGAGTTACCTTGGGGTAGTGAATCGTTTCCTTCGTGAGTTTTCAATGGATATTTTTAATAAATGGGGGTAAAAAAAGAAATTCCCCGCTTGTCAGAATTTCTAAGTGAGTTACCTTGGGGTAGTGAATCGTTTCCTTCGTGAGTTTTCAATGGATATTTTTAATAAATGGGGGTAAAAAAAGAAATTCCCCGCTTGTCAGAATTTCTAAGTGAGTTACCTTGGGGTAGTGAATCGTTTCCTTCGTGAGTTTTCAATGGATATTTTTAATAAATGGGGGTAAAAAAAGAAATTCCCCGCTTGTCAGAATTTCTAAGTGAGTTACCTTGGGGTAGTGAATCGTTTCCTTCGTGAGTTTTCAATGGATATTTTTAATAAATGGGGGTAAAAAAAGAAATTCCCCGCTTGTCAGAATTTCTAAGTGAGTTACCTTGGGGTAGTGAATCGTTTCCTTCGTGAGTTTTCAATGGATATTTTTAATAAATGGGGGTAAAAAAAGAAATTCCCCGCTTGTCAGAATTTCTAAGTGAGTTACCTTGGGGTAGTGAATCGTTTCCTTCGTGAGTTTTCAATGGATATTTTTAATAAATGGGGGTAAAAAAAGAAATTCCCCGCTTGTCAGAATTTCTAAGTGAGTTACCTTGGGGTAGTGAATCGTTTCCTTCGTGAGTTTTCAATGGATATTTTTAATAAATGGGGGTAAAAAAAGAAATTCCCCGCTTGTCAGAATTTCTAAGTGAGTTACCTTGGGGTAGTGAATCGTTTCCTTCGTGAGTTTTCAATGGATATTTTTAATAAATGGGGGTAAAAAAAGAAATTCCCCGCTTGTCAGAATTTCTAAGTGAGTTACCTTGGGGTAGTGAATCGTTTCCTTCGTGAGTTTTCAATGGATATTTTTAATAAATGGGGGTAAAAAAAGAAATTNTAAAAATTCGAAGGGTAGTTATAAAATTGGTTTTCCGTTTTCCGCGGGAAATATCGATGCTCGAAGAATTGTTGGTCCGGCCTAAACATTTACGGGGGTAAATCCTTAATTTATATGAACCTTATAATTCTCGTCGAAATTCGAAGGGTAGTTATAAAATTGGTTTTCCGTTTTCCGCGGGAAATATCGATGCTCGAAGAATTGTTGGTCCGGCCTAAACATTTACGGGGGTGGCAGCCCTCTCTAACGTGGATCGTTGTATCGTGTATTAATTGGCGGCGTTAATTATGCGAATCCTGTAAATACCCTCGTTGGGGGAAACCAGGCTCGGGTTCCAGGGGTGCGAGGGCCACGTTCGCGTTTGCACCCTGGGCCAAAAACGGGTCACCCGTTCCAGGGGGTGCGTTCCCGTAAAAGGACAAACTTTGATTGTCGGGGCACAGCGGGGCCCAGGATTTACGATTTCCTCGACAAATCTCCCCGCCATGTCCGGCCGAAAGAGCGCAGCAGTAAAGCCGACATCATTTCCGGGAGGTTTGGGGGTGTTTAAAGCTGCGTTAATTTCCTGAACCCGAGGGGGTGGGAATACATCCGGAAGTCCGGGAGCAAATTTCGAGACCAAGTCTCGGGGGGAGGAAAAACGATACTTACGAGAAAAGAAAAAAAATGCATTGAACCAAAGAGAAATTTTTTTGAGTACCTAAGAGACATTTTGTTAACGCAAAGAACAATTATTTGACTCGTAACAAAATCGAATAAATTGAATGCGACGTTTTTTTCGGAATCGTGACAATTTATTTTAGCTGAAGAATAATTATATTTGTGTTAAAAATACATTCCTTTGGCGCTATTCACATATATATTTCCTCGGGTCGTTGAAATTTATTTCTCAGGTCGGATTCGATCGTTTCGGTCGATTTCAGCATCCCCTTAAGGACGGAAATCGTTTTCAGGGATTTCCGAGTGAATAGCCTCCGCTATCAAATTCGAATAAAACGTGAAGGGGGGTGGAAAACCGAGGAAACCCTTCGACCATCCCTTCGACTTATCCATTTCTGGGGATATTGTGTCGCGGTGGCGGAGGAGCGCAAGATGAAAATAAAATGAAAATAAAATGAAAATAAAATGAAAAGAAAATGAAAATAAAAGGTCCTCCTCGGGTTCCCCGAGTCGAGTGGGAGAAAATTGAAGAAAACACCTTCCAGGGGCTGAAAGCGGTCGTTAGGTACGAGTGGCCCTCTCCTCCCTTAATGCAAACTCGGGGTAAAAGTCCCCGCCCCGGGGAATATTTCACGGTGTCTAATGAGAGTCACTGTTAAAAGGCGTCGCACATCCGTGGACGTGAAAGGGGCGTGAAGACGCCCGGGGGTGGAACAGCCCCTGAAAGGGGGCCCAAGCAGAACAGGTGCACCCCTGGTCGGACCGCTCCCTACTTTCCGCGTGAGTTTCGCACTTTCTCGCATTTCCGACTGCATTTTCCACCCCCCACGCACCCTGCAATCTACCCCGACTGCCGAAGGGCTGTTTGCTGGTTTGCCCCCGACCCTTTTACGTCCACCGTTTGTCCGTTTTACGGGGGAGACTTTTAATCGCGCGGAAATGCCACCCCTTTCGATCCACCCGATTTTTTTTCTCACCCCTCCCGGACAGAAATCTGTGTTATCAAATTACTAATTTTATGACACTGCGTTATAGAATCAGGAACTTTGCAATAGAGCGCTATGGAATTATGAATTTCATAATACAGAGTTATAAAATTACCCACTTTGTAACGAAATATTTAGTCTGGTTAATTAAATGAACATCTTTCTTTTTCTCTGGGAACTTGCACCTGTTATCGTGCGAAGTTTCACTTAAGGTGAAGTGAAACACGTCGAGGAACTCGCTCGACGACGATAAAGAAGATTTTTCTAAATGCCTACGTTGCCGACGTTCGTTTTTATATTCACAGCTGTGTCGAATTATATTCGACATTGTACAAAATGGCATACTCCACCTGTCGTTTTCGTACAATAAATATCAAGAAATCGAAGTAAAACTCCAGAAATCCTCTGAATTCATGCTTTCTGGAGGCCTAATTAACTGTAGAGGGACCCCCTGCGCCATCTGTGATTTCCAGGTCAATTCAATTTTCACTCCGAGACCTCGTATTCCCATCGTTTTACCATAGAAGCGCATACAACACTTTTTTTGCCCTTATCCCGTTCAAATGCGAGTTTATCGATTACCAGAGTGTTCTAAATTCTCGCAAAATTGTCCTGACCCTTTCGTTTCTCATATCAGAGCCTTCGATAATTGTATATTGATCGAAATATGAAAGCTCGACGCCATTTTGGTTCTGGTCTGGGCTGAGTTAAAAATAAAAAAAAAATCCAAATTTTCAATGTGTCAGGACAATTCTTAGATGATCAGGAGTGATGTGTCAAAGTTTCGGACTGTTTGGTTTAATGCCCTTAAAAAAAAGTGTTGTATTCGAATCGACCGATTTGAAGGGAGGTTCACTTCACCTTAAAGGATTTCGTTCATGCCTTGGGGCGATATATCGGAAATAGTCGATGACGGATCGCGACACGACGGAATGCCGGATATTGTCTCATCGGATCGACGGGACGGGAATATTGTCGCACGGTACAGGGAGAATTTTAGAGCCAGTTTGAATTTCAAACTAACCTTAACCTCGTTACGAGGCTCGCAGTAAGCCGTTTACCGGGCAAAGCGCAACGATCAAAGCGCTGCTCCCGCGAAACTGGAAACTCTTGGCCGAGCACCAACAACCAGAACCAAAGACGTTTCCCTGGAGTCCTTATTAAAGGACGTCCAGAAAAGAAATTACCGCTACGTGAAAACCTATCGTTACTTCAATTAAGGAATTTCACAGCTGCCCATTACGGCCCCTGTGAACGTACAGATTATATGTGCCCATAATGATGAAAGTGGTCTGTCAAAATTGAAAAAAAAAAAAAAATGAGTTCATCAGTTATTTCACGCCACATTATTTCAAACTAAATTAATTCAATGTAACTTCGAAAGAAAAAATATATGACTTAGACCACTTTCATAATTATGGGCACATATCGAGTAGCAATATTTATATTAAATTCTCATCGCGTATTTTAAAATAATAATTGCCTGGCGAATTAGGAATTATTATATCAATTATTGAAATTCCAGGTCTCTCTTGTCGGTCCATTAAGCGAAAAGCTCGACAAGTTTATGTTATATGAAATTTGACAAGTGCCGGGGGTGTTTAAGATCTTTTTTTTGAGATCTTGATATATACTTTATATGTGAAACTTGGTGGGGAATATCTAGGGAATCCTTCCAAAATAAGGACATTCTGGTAGAATCCTATCCGAGTTGCAAATGTCCTTTATTGAATTTCTACGATATCGCGGATGACTTACGTCCCGGAAAGGAACTAGGTCGTCTCTTATGCAATATCTAAATACTGGAATCTAGTACCTCGGAATTTCCCCCAAGTGTTACCCCTTTGATGTATCATCCTTGTACCCGAGAGCACATAGAAATACGTCACGGAGGAGGAAAAAGAAGAGCCGCAAAAGAATATCTGCTCGCAGCCTCGAGCCATTGAATTTCCGAAAAAAAAGATACGTCCAATGGCGGATGGAAAAATCCATCTCGCGCGGCACGGAGGCGAATGAACATTTATTCCAATTTTTCAACCCCAGGTTTTCCGTTTCACACTTTTCCCCACCGAAGCGCATCCTTTTATCACTCGGCAATACGTTCTCCGTGAGGTTTTTCTTCATTCTTCCGCGTTTATTTTTATTTATCCTTTTTTTTTTCTTTTGTTTCCCAATTTGGGAGAGTAAATGGATCCATTTATTTCACCCCCCGATATTTTCCCTGGGAAATGATTTTTCCAGAAAGGGCCAAGTGGTCATAAATCGGTAAGGAGCTCCTCCGATCATTCTCTCGGTACGTCAATTTTCCGCAATTGATGGTCGCCTCCGTCATATCGCCCCACGACAGGGCGGGGGCAATTCAAATTTCATTAGGGTGGCCCAGATTTTCCGAAATCCTTCCATCTAAGCAGGAAAAAATCGGCTCGTCCTTTCGGATCCACTTTACGCAAAGTGATGGATTATGCGCTCCCGATAATCCCGTCGCGCTTCCTTGCGACCGCTTCGATGCATAATTCAGGGGAGCTTTTCGAAAAATGCAACCTACTCCTGCGAGGTAACCGTCTGAGAGATAACATAGAGGGGAAAGGGGAATAATAAATAATAAATAATAATCTGGCGGGGGGGCATTTCGAGAAATTCCGAAATTCCGAAATTTCTCCCGGCGATTCGTTCGGTGCATCAACTGCTGCAGATTTGCATGGCATTGCCGTTAGTGCAGGGCTCCAGTTCGTCCTTTTTCTCTTTTGATTCCCTATGAATAAAATTTCCTCCCGGCCAACATGCTAACGCGGTCTGGAAATTTCTTTTCGCGGGGGAAGGAAAAAAGAAATGGCGGAGGCTCCTGTTGTCCCCGCGCTCGATTTCCTCCCTAGAAATCGGCTGCGACCCTTCGGTCATTTCTTTCCGAGGGAAAATCGACTCCTTTCTATGCGCATTTACTTATATTAAGGATTCACTGGCTACTAATTGCGATCAATTTCGGCGTTTCTAGTATAATTACGGCCGCCCTCCCTTCGTAAAGCCGCGCGGCGGATTTGAATTTTATCCCCGGAGGGATTAAAATTATTAATAATTCACCCCGCGATTATAACGCTCGCTCGGCAACATTCTACCACTCGAATTGTTCATTTTTCACGCAGATGCGGAATTAATACGCCGCAATAATGCCGCTTAAACGCGTAATTATATATATTGTATCCCGGCCATACGGTTTACATTTATAATGCGGCTTCGTTAAGAACAAGTTCACCGAATTTCCCGAATTTCCCGAACTCGTCTATCATTGTTATGGATATTTAG